CGCACCTAAGTTTCCTACGTTAATGGCCTCGAGTTTATTGCATCCGTCTTTTTAATTTTGAGATTCTTTCCGTCGTGGAAACAGATGGAATATTTAAGTAGTTTTTGTTTAGCTTCAAAGAGACTTTTTCCCGCTCCTTTGTGTCCTTATCCAAATATTGCGATTCGTGTAACAATAGCACTTCGCACCAGTTACTTCTTAAGCAAGTGCCTTGTACAGCTTTGATGATTACAAACTAGAGTATGCTAGAGGTCATGTCGCTTGTTGGCCTGGCCTAGAATAAAAGTACTGTGGAACCAAAGATTGTCTTATCCTTGACGTCCGTATAAGCTCGCTCGAAGCAGATCTCCGTGTACCAGGAAATCGTGACGAGTTTCCGTTCTCGCTGCCGAGTCGTCTCTACAGAGTTATTTCCCCCAGTTGTTATTGTGCCGTCCGCGAAGATTCAGTCCTCCAGTTTGGGCGAGAAAACCAATCGTCACAGTAACCACCCGCGTAAAGTACACTATATTTTTTATTCCGTTTGTACGTTAAATTTTGCCATATTTCAGACGACCATAACATCGGGGGTATACAATTATACATGAAATAAAAGAGACTTTTTTCAACGAGCAATTCTTCGTGTTTATCATGTAAAAATATTATCCTTGGCCCGTGAAAAGCTAGCGCGCCAGACCAAAATATATAGCGTGCATTTTCACGGAGTTCCGCCATTTTCTTTGTTGTACTCCTCTTGCAAATCATACGCAATTAGGACAAAACTCGACGTGTTTGGTCTCTACTTCTGTTTTGATTCATTTAAATATATAAATTTTAACTTTAAAATTACCTTACCTTAATTGTTAAGTGAGCAAACCTCTGTTTTAGGTATTTTTCTCGAATGCTAAATAAACAAATCGCTGTTTACAAAGGTACCAGCTCTGTCGACGTGCTTTTAGCTGAAATTGACCGGTCGCTTATATTGTTCTTTAATTTACAATCTATCCCACTGGCATAACTTTGGTGAAAATAACATGTAACTATAAATGTTGTTGTAAATACGTGAGCGCAAGCTAAATAAAATCTTCGCATACATAAAATATTCGAAACATGTAGTTGTCGCAAGAAAATACTCGCTTGTGCATGAACCTCGTGTATACATATATATGTATATATATTTTAATAATTTTCATGACATTTCATCTATGACTTTTAGCGTAATAAAGAAACGAATAGGAAATTTTCCTTCTGGGTGGGCATTAAATGGAAGCCAAAAACTTATTATTTTTTTCTCAGCCAAGGTCGGTCCGTATTGGGAAAAACTGTGCCCTCTGTCTTGTGTACCGGCCTACGGCCTCGGGCGGTATCCAAGACCTCGGGCACAGTTTTTCCTAATACGGACCTCCCGTCTGGTGAATAACATATATTTATTTCTCGGATTTCTTCGACAATTTTTACATTAAATTCCAACCAAGAGTTGATTTGAAAATGTATCTAAACAGGTGTACTACACAAACATGCTATTTTAATTACAGTGACAGGAGTAGAAATTTATTAAAAGCAACCGAGCAAAGCAACGAATGTTTACACAAGGTTCATGCACAAGCGGGTATTTTCTTGCGACAACTACATGTTTTGAATATTTTATGTGTGCCAAGATTTCATTTAGTTCACGCTCACGTATTTACAACAATATTTATAGTTACATGTTATTTACTCCAAAGTTATGCCAGTGGGAGAGATTGTAAATTAAAGAACAATATAAACGACCGGCCAATTTCAGCTAAAGACACGTCGACAGAGCTGGTATCTTTGTAAACAGCGATTTGTTTATTTAGCATTCGAGAAAAATACCTAAAACGGAGCTTTGCTCACTTAAAAATAAAGTTAGGGTAATTTTAAAGATAAAATTGATATATTTAAATGAATCAAAACAGAAATAGAGACCAAACACGTCGAGTTTTGTCCCAGTAGCATATGATTTGCAGTAGGAGTACAGGAAGAAAACGGCCGAACTCCTTGAAAATGCACGCTATATATTTTGGTCTGGCGCGCTCGCTTTTCACGGGCCGAAGATAATATTTTTACATGATAAACACGAAGAATTGCTCGTTGAAAAAATTTTTTATTTTATGTACATTCGTATATCCCCAATGCTATGGTCGTCTGAAATATGGCAAAATTTAGCGTACAGACGGAATAGAAAATATAGTGTACTTTACGCGAGTGGTTGCAAACGAAAGAAAGTTCAGTTGAAGATGAAATATAATTGCAAAGCTACTCCAAGGGATGAAAAACAACTTATGAAAAAAATAATTCAAGATAATCTTTCGCTGTCTTGTTCGAGTGTTATGAAAATGCACTGAAAGCCCGATAAAAATTATGCAAACTAGGTACGTTTTAGCCGATTTCGAACTTTCGTATTTTTTGCCAAAATAAAAACTCGCCGGAACTTTTGAATATCATTTTTGAAAATATTTCACTTAAAAGGTCTTTTGGAACGAATAAAAAAAATTTGAAGTTTTGCTTCTGTCGCCAGGTTCTTCAAAATTACTGACAACGTCTCTTAAACAACCGTAACAAATATCATGAAACGATAACGACAATAAAGGACCCAAATAACAACAATCAAGTTACTAATGACCAGTCACGTATACCACATATTCTAAATGGACATTTTGCAAGTGTTGGTACCAAACTAGCAAGTAAACTACCCACCAAAAAACAATCATATGGATTATCTCAAGAAATTAAAATCACCTGATCCTTCTTTTTTTTCCAAACCGATTCCCAAGATGACGTTAAACGAGAAATTCTCTCACTGCCAAACAACAAGTCGTATGGTTTATACTCTTGTCCTACCCATCTTCTGAAATGTTCGTGCGATATTTATCTACTGTCCTTTCGAACATTTTCAATACTTCTATTACGAATGGTGTTCACCCATCAAAACTTAAGATCTCCAAAGCCACACCTATCTATCACTCCCTAGATCATGCGATCCTTGATATTGTCGAAACTTTACAGAACAATATGGATAAGCATTATTTCTCGTGTGGTTTTTGTTGACCTAAAAAAGGCTTTTAACACTGTCAATCACAAACACTACTTGGTAAACTTAATTTTCATGGTTTTCGAGGGATTATCAACGAGTGCTTCCAGTCTTAACAAATCGAACGCAAACAACTCAACTTGGATCGCACGTATCAACTAAACTAGTTTCTCCCTTTGGTGTCCCTCAGGGTTTGGTTTTAGGACCACTTCTCCTTTTACTTTATATAAATGACATTCACCTCTGTTCCAATAAACTTCAATTTTTCTTATTTGCGGATGACACTAACATTCCCTATGCTGAGAACGACCTCAAGTCTTTAGAACAGACGGTCAATGCTGAACTGAGCAATTTAGATGACTGGCTAACTACAAATAAATTGACTTTGAATACAAAAAAAACAAATGTTGTAATTTTTCGCCCTAGACAAAAGAAAATCCGATATCTCCCACAAATTTGATGGTGAAAAAAATAGAAGAGTCAGCTTGGACATAAGAGTTATATCAAGTATTTTGGTGCTTTGATCGATGAAAATCTTTCTTGGAAAAACCATTTGGACTGTGTTATCACTAAAATAAGTTAGACCATAGAAACAATTGCTAAGCTGAGACACTCTCTTCCATCAACTGTACTCACAAATATTTATAAATCCTTAATTTTACCTTATTTAACTTATGGACTCGTTGCTTGGGGTAATGCGTCTAAAAACTATCTAAACAAAATTGTTCTCCAAAAGCGCGTATTACGTCTAATCTACTTTGTTGATAGAAAAGAACATGCAATCCCCTTAGTTGTAAATGCGAAAATTCTGCCTATTACATTCCTATGTAGTAAAGTTGTATGTAAATTAGTGCTCGATGTTCATAACGACGGTGTACCATCTAACATCATGAAACTTTTGACGAGAACTTCAAACATCCATACATCTACTACTCGCTCATCAACGTCACAACTCTCTAGCGTTAAGTACTAAAGGCTTAAAATGCAAAAAAAAAAAGCCTTTTCACGTGTTGGTGTCAAAGTCTGGAATGAGATGCCTGATAAATACAAAAATTTGTCAAAGAATTCCTTCAAAAAAGAAACAAAAAGAGCTCTTCTCAATATTCTAGAAACTGAAGATTCTTATATGGAGCCTGACGAGATAATGCTAAAATTCAAACACAGCAAAATTGAATCAAATCGAACCAGCTCTACAATATTTTTCGTGCACTTAGAAACTCTAGGATTTTTTTCTCCTTTACAATGAACAGCTGTCATTTTCCTTTTTTTTTCTTTTTTTGCGTATCTTTTGCCCTTTTATGTTATATTTCTTCATTTCCGTTTTATTTCCAGCGTAATTAAATTAAGTCAGTAAAGAAAAAAATATATATATATAAACTTGATCCGCCTCGATTAGCATTTGCTATCTGCGGGTCAAAGGAATGTCTTGTTCATATGTAAGAAAATGAAAAATAAAAGTGTGAATAACTCTTACTCCGTGACAACTGTCAATATTTTACTTCTATGCCAATTGAAAGTGATGGAAAGATGAAGCGTATAACCGGTCACGCAAAAAAGTTATTGTTTACATAAGCAAACCTTACTATCGGTTTACCGCCGCAATAAACCACGTGGGAGATGTTGGGAGAACACGAGAAAAGCTGTTAAACCACATGCCGGAGACAAAAGTACACAAATGGGGAGGTCGTGGTACAAATAGAGAAACGGTAACTACGTTCTCTTTCTAGATAAAAGTATCCCTACTTTTGTTTCTCGTTTAGTGCACAGCTTGTAAGGCTGTGTGATAAAGAAGATTTCTATGATCCATTGCCAGGATAGTTACCTTTCCTCTTTTACTCCATCAGTGAAAATAAAACAAAACTGAAAAAATAATCCATATGGACTGTATAAATCTCGGCTTTCGTGTGCTACCTGGAAGACTTTGCACCGGTAATGAAGATTTCTACAAGCTATCAGCACAGATAATTACCTTTCACCTCTCTGCGAGACTCTGAAAAGAAGAAACAGATAAGGAATTACGATTAGATATAAAAATATATCCGAGCAGCCGCTGGTTTTACGAGAACCCTACAACACAAGAGCGCTGAATTTTCACGTATAAGCTTATTGAGCAGATGTAGACCATGTTTAAAAGATAAGGAATTGATAGTCAGCAAAGTCACAAGAGTCAGTTTATCTAATCAAACTTGGTGAGCGTACATAAGCCATAATAGGGCTATGAATAAAGACTTTTACAAGACAACGAGTGACTACGTTATCTTTTCTGATAAAACCATCCCTACTTTTGTTTCTCGTTTAGTGCACAGCTTTTAAGGCTGTGTGATAATAAAGATTTCAATGATCCATTGCCACATATAGTTACCTTCCCTCTTTTTCTCCCTCGGTGAAAATAAAACAAAATTGAAAAAATAATCCGTATGGACTGTGTACAATCTTGGCTTCCGTGTGCTACCTGGAAGACTTTGTGCCGATAATGAAGATTTTCACAAGTTATTAGCACAGATAATTACCTTTTTCTACCTTCTTGGACTCTGAGAAGAAAAAAAAAATGAGGAATTACCATCGGCACGGCATGAGAAAACTACTACACAAGAGCACTAAATTGTCACGTGTAAGCTTATTGAACGGATGAAGACTTTGTTTAAAGGGAAGGAATTAATACTTAGCGGAGTCACCAGAGTCAAGTAATTCAATCAAACTTGGTGAGCGTACATAAACCATAATACGGCTATGCAATAAGACTCAGACAAACGGTAACTACGTTATCTTTTTAGATAAAACCATCCCTACTTTTGTTTCTCGTTTAGTGCACAGCTTGTAAGGCTGTGTGATAATGAAGATTTCTATGATCCATTTCCACAGCTACCGGTAGTTATGTTTCCTTTTTTCTCCTTCGGTGAAAGTTAAACAAAACTGAAAGATATCTTTAATTTCACCCAATAAAAAAAAAAACCAAACAAAATTAAAAAAAAAACCAAACAAAATTTAAAATAAAAACAAACAAAAACTTTGATCACAAAAAATGCTTTCTGCGCTTTAAGGTGAGAGACTGAGAGGTTTGTTTCCAATTGTAAGCAGAAGAAAACTGTGAACATTAAGCAGTTGTGAGTAAAAGAGTGATGTACGAAGGGAAAAAAAGAGTCTCCCTTGGCCAGGAGAACAATGGTTTAGATCGTAGCATCAAAATTTGAGAACGTTTGTGAAAGTGTTCACTATGATGCTATTTTGGTTACCATCATTCTGGATCTTTCTGTTACTTTTTACAAACTTTCAAACAAACTCACAAAGTGAGACTTAAAACACCTCGCAATGTTAGAGTTCTTTGGGCGACTTTTACCCATTACAGACAAGTTTTACGTTTTAATAAAATATGATTGATATTGTCTTCTAATAAACCACATTTCCAGCAAAAAAATAAAAAATAATAAAATAAAAGATTTTGAGTTTCTGAGAACATACTGACTCACATTTCGGTAATCAGTAACCCTGTGTCCCCTGAGAGGACTCTTTTTGTGAAACTCAGGCAGCAGGAGTTGTATGTCAGCAAATGAAAGATTTTGATCACAAATAAAATGATCGAGTAAACAACAGTTACAAAGAAGACTAATATTTAATGATCGTTTGCCGTAGTTTAACACCAAAAACTTTGTTTGAAGCCAATTTGTTCTCAATGGAACTAGTGGGTCAACTAGAGGGAAGTTCAGTGTTATGTTATTCTACGGCGGGTGCTTTACGGAGGTAGCCACGTATTCCAAATCTTATTGAAAGCATTGTAATACTTAGAGGCAACATTTATTAACTGAACTAAGTGTTAATGTAAAGGGGCGCAAGTTTCCAAAACTTAGTGTGGTGCTGCGTCTGTGGAAGATATAAAAAAAAGTATATTTTCTTTTTAATGAACTAAGCTGATATTTCGAATTGGCCATTGTTAAGAGTTTCACAGGCTTTATTTCCGTTGCATGTATTGCACGTGAACAAAGTTTGAATAGTCTACGAAGAAAACATTACAAATAGTTGTGGGCAGGTTAGTTTTCATTTCTTTTTCGGTTTTCTTCAGTGTCTTTATGTGTTTGTTTGTTTGTTTATCTTGTTTCTCACTTATGTAACTCTTGGATCAAAATTTATAAGGATCAGCTCGAACGTCGACTTTCTCCTTATACGGATCAAATTTTTCATAAATTACATTAAGTACGATTCAGTTCTCGTCTGGAAAGGTTTCTGAGAAAAGAGGAAAAAAGATGAAAGAGTACGTATGTATTATTTATTGATGAATCGTTGCTATACTTAGATAAACATCCATATCTCCAATAAATACCGTACAATGTAGAAAAATCTCTCCGCTTTCGGAAATGAAAACAACAAAAACTTAACAACAGATAAAACTACAATCCGACAAAACTACCACGATTCATTACTACCACCAATTATCTTGCACACTCTCCAAATATTTTGAAACAATAAAGCAAACATGAGTAATTACGATTAACTATGAAAATCATCTGGGCCTCCTACAGACTACGCTGTGAATGTCATGCAAACGAGTGTAACAAAAAAGCCCAGCTTCATTTGAATCGCATCGCTGAAGGAGCTATAAAATGTTGTTATGGTATACTGACCTAAAAATACACTAAGATGACAACCGGTAGCTTTTAATTTCTCCGTCGATATTCTTTCCAAAGCAAAACGTTTAGATGCTGCCACTTCAGTATGGTTTTACCCTCGCTTAAACTTAATTCGCTACTACATGAATGAAAGCACGTTTTCAGTTCTCGTTGTGTTATTTGCTCCCTGTTTTGTTGTTGTTGATAATCTATCACAGTCTGGTAAAATTGTACTAAGATGCTTAAATTAATAAAGTCAAATAAAATGTGTAAAAATACAATCAAGAAAACGAAAGTGAATATCCTTCTGATTGAGTATATTTGTTGTATCTAAAGCAAACAGACATATCCACCGTGTAATGCACAATGTAAATATTGAAAAACTGTGCGATGAAAATTTCTTAAACAATAATATATAACTTACTTGGAGCGGCTTCATTGTAGGCTTTGACGTACTCTAAAATGGAAAGAAAAATAATAGTTGTTAAAGACTTATAGTTCTCGTTCTCAAGAAACTCATCCTTATTTTATTGAAGATAATTGTGAACAAAATAATTTCCATTGTTGGTATTGAGTTGCTTCAATTAAAATTGAAAAAACATCCATACACACGATTTAAAACGTTTAGAATTACCCCGGCGCGAGTTAACTCTGCTAAATGCGCCTCGTTTGCAGGTGCCGAGATATTGTCACAATGCCTAATTTATAATGGTAATTGAACTGAGTGGAGTGCAATTTGGGCTGAAATCATACGCGTGATTCCAAAATTGAACGAGCGCGCAGCGCGAGTTCGATTTCAGACCAAAATTGCACAACACGAGGTTCAATTACCACTTTATTACATCCGTTTTGAAATCGCCCAAATACAGGACTTGGTCAGTTCAAATATTTTATTAATACAATACTGAGCTGGTTTGAAATTAAATTCATCCATTTTTTGGGAGGAAAAAATAAGAGTTTTGGAAACAAAAGTTGCAAAATTTGCCATATGATACTCCATGTCTTTCATCTTCCTGCAATATGATCGGTTACTTTAAACAAGCCTTGAAGTCTGATTGGTTGTTTTGTTTTTAGTGTAGCCTCCTCACTGGGTGGGGAAAAGATGCGATTTAAAGCAAAAAATGGTGCAATTTGTGAATAAATCGCACCAATTAGAGCCAATCAGATTACAGGGACCATCAGTGATTTCAAAATGGGTGTAATAAATGCCCTAATTTCAGAATAACCGCATTTTTTCTAGTCAGGAAAAAGGCAATTCTTATATTTTGAAGTTCATGGTACAATATATACGTACACTATACAGGAAAATATATATTGTAAATTTTGATTTACCATGGTCCTGCCCAAAACTTCTACAATCAAAAAGGTATAACAACATTCTTATGCAAAATTCCATTTCAATTTTAAAACAGCTCGTTCTGAGGAAAGAACCATGGCATGGAAGGAACCGCTATAACTTTTACTCCGTGATAACTATCAATATTTAACTCCTATGCCAATTGAAAGTAACGGAAAGATGAAGCGTATAACCGGTCATGCATTAAAGTCATTGTTTACAAAAGCATTAAACCACACTTACTATCGGTTTACTGCCGCAATAAACTACGTGAGAGTTGTTTGGAGAACATAAGAAAAGCTGTTAAGCTACAAGCCGTAGACAAAAGTACACAAATAGGGGGTCTTTGTAAAAATAAAAGAAACGGTAACTACGTTATCTTTCTAGATAAAACCATCCCTGCTTTTGTTTCTCGTTAAGCGTACAGCTTGTATGGCTGTGTGATAATGAAGATTTCTATGATCCATTGGCAGGATGGTTACCTTTCCTCTTTTACTCCATCAGTGAAAATAAAACAAAACTGAAAAAATAATCCATATGGACTGTGTAAAAACTCGGCTTTCGTGTGCTACCTGGAAGACTTTGTACCAGTAGTGAAGATTTCTACAAGTTATTGGCACAGAAAATTACCTTTCACATGCTCTGAAAAGATAAAAGAAATGAGGAATTACGATTGAGTACAAAAATATCTCCGAGCAGCCCGCTGTTTTAGGAGATCCGTAGTACACAAGAGCGCTGAATTGTCAGCTTATTGAACGGATGTAGACCATGTTTAAAAGAGAAGAAATTGATAGTCAGCAGAGTCACAAGAGTCAATTTATCCAATCAAACTAGGTGAACGTACATAAGCCATAATAGAGCTATGCATAAAGACTTTTACAAGACAAACAGTAACTACGTTATCTGTCTGTATAAAACCATCCCTGCTTTTTTTCTCGTTTGGTGCACAGCTTGTAAGGCCGTGTGATATTGAAGATTTCTATGATCCATTGCCAGGATGGTTAACTTTCCTCTTTTAGCCCATCAGTGAAAATAAAAAAAAAACAAAAAATAGTCCATATGGACTGTATAAAATCTCGGCTTTTGTGTGTTTATTGGAAGACTTTGTGTCGGTAATGAAGATTTCTACAAGTTATTAGCACAGATAATTACCTTTCACCTTCCTACTACTCTCTGAAAAGAACAAAGAAATGAGGAATTACGATTCGATATAAAAATATATCCGAACAGCCGCTGGTTTTACGAGAACCCCACTACACAAGAGCGCATGTTTAAAAGAGAAGGAATTGATAGTCAGTAGAGTCACAAGAGTCAATTTATCCAATCAAACTTGGTGAGCGTACATAAGCCATAATAGGGCTATGCATAAAGACTTTTACAAGACAAACAGTAACTACGTTACTTTTGTTTCTCGTTCAGAGTACAGCTTGTTAGGCTGTGTGATAATGAAAATTTCAATGATCCATGACCACAGATAGTTACCTTCCCTGTTCTTCTCCCTCGGTGAAATTAAAACAAAACTGAAAAAATAATCCGTATGGACTGTGTACAATCTTGGCTTCCGTGTGCCACCTGGAAGACTTTGTGCGGATAATGAAGATTTTTACAAGTTATTAGCAGATAATTACCTTCATGGTCCTTCCTAAACTCTGAGAAGGAAAGAAAAAATGAGGAATTACCATCGGGTATGAAAATATATCCGAGCCCCCGTTGCTTTAATGAGAAAACTACTACACAAGAGCGCTAAATTGTCACGTATAAGTTTGTTGAACGGATGTAGACGATGTTTTAAAGGGAAGGAATTAATACTTGGCAGAGACACCAGAGTCAAGTTATTCAATCAAACTTGGTGAGCGTACATAAACCATAATAGGGCTATGCAATAAGGCTTATACCCCATTCACACCAAAGCTTAAACATGTTTTAAAGTTGTTTTGCTAAACACAGTTTAAGTTTTTTTTCTTCGTAGAAACTACTGAACCTAATATTTTTTACTAAATTGTAGCACATTATAAACGCAAGAAAGTTTTTCAGTTCTCTGTTTATGATTTTCATTCAGTAAAAACCAGTTTAACAAAACATGTTTTGCCGATGTGAATAGAGTATTAGACAAACGGTAACTACGCTATCTTTTAGATAAAACCATCCCTACTGTTGTTTCTCGTTTAGTGCACAGCTTGTAAGGCTGTGTGATTATGACGATTTCCATGATCTATTGCTACAGATACTGGTAGTTGTCTTTCCTTTTTTTTCTCCTTCGGTGAAAATAAAACAAAACTGAAAATATCTTTAATTTCACCCAGTAAAAAAACCAAATCAGAATCAAAGGGCTCTTGGAGCTAGCTCATTCATGTTATGGCTCAAGTTTGTATTGATTTCTTGGACTTGTTGAATATACTGGTACAGTTGAATTCGGTTTATGTGAACTTTCAAGACTTATGGAATAAATTTTCTTTTATTTTTGGGCAGTTGTGTGATAAGAAAACTTGTGCATTCGTCGTGATGGGAATTGGAAAAAAGTTTGTGTGGACTGGAGGTTTAAAGGAAAGGAACTAATATACTCAGCAGAGTCTTTAAAGCCAAGTTATTGTACGAATCACAAGGAGGCCATGCATGCAAAGAAAGAGAGGGGTACGGTGAGTCACTTTCACCGCTCACTTTTAAAAAAGCCTAGGGGAGTAAGGTCAATAAGCGCATTTTAATTCAGTAACATTTAAATGTAAAACTACTGATCACTTGTAACTTGACGTAAACTACACTTCAAAACTAAATTTTTAATAGTCCAAAATCAAAACAACTAACGATCAGATAGTTTTTAGAGATCTAGTTCTTAAGTAAGCCGAAAATAAACACACGATTACGACGTAGACACAGTCTCCTCGTCGACTTCAAATTTCTGAGCGCAAATAACAAATAGGAAAGTTATTCATAAAAGGATGGAGGCTATCTATAAAAGGATAAGCTACAAAAGAAGGGCGGGAAGGTATGTGTGTCCACTGTTACCTTATCAATCTCCCGTTTTCATAAGCCTGGGGGACTTAAGCCACCAAGTGCGGTTTATTTCCGTTACATGTATTGAACGTGAAGAAAGTTTACACTCAGTGTAATGCAACGTAACAACGAGGGTCAGTTCCGGTCATTGCGCACCAAGAATGACAAGATTTGACGAAAAATATCATTAGCTTTAATAAAAAAAGAAAAAGAAAAAGGCCAGTCAAAACTTTCATACAAAATGAAATTTCTCCGAGAACTGCTTACCCAGAATAAAGCATCTCAAAGAACTGAATAAATTACAGGAAGCGGAAAGTATACTCATTTCCTGGATTTCAACTGAATTAGAATTTTTTGAAAGTTTCGAATTAATCTTTCAATCTACTGGTACTGCATTCGTTTATTAGCTGTTTAAAACCCTCTACAGCCCAAATTTATTTTGGAATTTATTTAAGTTTTCCAATGCTAAAATAACTAAAAACTGTAAAATATTGAGATTTAAAGCAATGATTGTTGTTGATAATCTGTCACCGTCTGGTAAAATTGTACTGAGATGCTTAAATAAGTAAAATCAAATAAAATTTGTCAAAATAAAATCAAGAAAACCAAATTGAATATCCTACTGATCGAGTACATTTGCTCTACGTAAATCAAACAGACGTATCCACCGTGCAATGCACAGAGTAAACATTAAAAAACTGTGAGATGAAAATTACTTAAACAATATACAACTTACTTGCAGGGGCTTCAAACTGGGCTTCAAAGCCGGCTTTCACATACGCTAGAATAGAAAGAAAATCATAGTTGTTAGAGACCTAAAGTTTTCGTTCTCAAGAGACTCATTCCTATTTTGTTGAAAATAATCTTAAACAAAATAATTTCCATTGTTGGTATTGAGTTGCTTCAGTTAAAATTGAAAAAACATCCTTATACACGATTTAAATCGTTTTGAATTACGCCGGCGCGAGTAAACTAAATGCGCCTCGTTTGCAGATGCCGAGATATTGTCACAGTGCCTAATTTATGCCCTAATTTCGGAATAACCGCATTTTTTCTAGTCAGGAAAAAGGCAACCCCTATATTTTGAAGTTCATGGTACAATATATACGTACAATATACATGAAAACATATATTGTACATTTTGATTTATGGTCTTGCCCAAAACTTCTACAGTCAAAAAGATAAAACAACATTCTTATGCGAAATTTGATTTCAATTTTAAAACAGCTAGCTTTGAGGAAAGAACCATGGCATGAAAGGAACCGTGATAACTTTTACTTCGTGATAACTATCAATATTTAACTCCTATGCCAACTGACAGTAACGGAAAGATGAAGCGTATAACCGGTCACGCATAAAAGTTATTGTTGACATAAGTAATAAACCACACTTACTATCGGTTTATCGCCGCAATAAACCACGTGGGAGATTTTGGGAGAACATGAGAAAAGCTGTTAAGCCACATGCCGTAGACGAAAGTACACAAATAGGGAGGTCGTTGTACAAATAGGGAAACGGTAACTACGTTCTCTTTCTAGATAAAAGCATCCCTACTTTTGTTTCTCCTTTAGTGCACAGCTTGTAAGGCTGTGTGATAATGAAGGTTTCTATGATCCATTGGCAGGATGGTTACCACTTTCCTCTTTTACTCCATCAGTGAAAATAAAACAAAACTGAAAAAATAATCCATACGGACTGTGGATAGTCTCGGCTTTCGTGTGCTACCTGGAAGACTTTGTGCCGGTAATGAAGATTTCTACAAGTTATTAGAACAAATAATTACCTTCTACCTCCTTGTGATACTCTGAAGAGAAAAAAAGAAATAAGGGATCACGATTGGGTATAAAAACATATCCGAGCAGCCGCTGATTTACATGAACCCTACTACTGGTCAGCAGAGTCACAAGAGTCAATTTATCCAATCAAACTTGGTAAGCGTACATAAGCGATAATAGGGCTATGCATAAAGAATTTTGAAAGACAGAAAGCGACTACGTTATCTTTCCAGATAAAACCATCCCTGCTTTTGTTTCTCGTTTAGCGCACAGCTTATAAGGCCGTGAAAATAAAAAAAAAATGAAAAATATCTTTAATTTTACCCAGTGATAAAAAAAGAAAAAGAAAAACTTGGATCACAAAAAATGTTTTCTGCGCTTCGAGGCAGGAGACTCAGAGGTTTGTTTCCAATTGCAAGCAGAAGAAAACTGCGTAAACATTAAGCAACCGTGGGTAAAAAAGTAATGTACGAAGGGGAAAAATTGAATCTCCTTTGGTCAGGAGAATAAGGATTTGGATCGTAACATCAAAATTTGAGAACGTTTGTGAACAAACTCACTTGGAAATTATTACTTTATATTGTTTTTGTGGCCTTCGAGCTAAAAGCGTTCAGCATTATGGGATTTTGGATGGTTACCATCATTCTGGATATTTCAGTGACTTTTTAGAAGCTTTCAAACAAACTCACAAGGTGAGACCTAAAACACTTCGCAATCTTAAAGAGTTTTCTTCCAGCAAAAAGCGGAGAAAAGATTTTGCGTTTCCGAGAACACACGACTTAAATTTTGGTAACCAGTAACTCTATGTCCTATCAGGGGACCTTTTTGTGAAGCTTAGGCAGCAGGTTTTCATGTCAGCAAATGAACGATTTTGATCAGAAATAAAACGATCAGATAAACAATTGTTACAAAGGAGACTAATATTTAATGATTGTTTGCCGAAGTTTAACACCGAAAACTTCGTTTGAAGCCAGTTTGTTCTCATTGGGATTGATGGGCCAACCAGAAGGAAATTTTTTTGCATATTATCCTCCAGCGGGTGCTTTACCGAGGTAGCCACGTACTCCAAATCTTATTGAAAGCACTGTAATACTCTTAGAGGAAATATTTATTAACTGAACTAAGCGTTAAAAAAAGGGGCAAGTTTTCAAAACCTATTGTGGTGCTGGATCGGTGGAGGATATAAAAAATACGTTTTCCTTTGAATCAACTAAGCTGATATTTTGAATTGGTCGCCGTAAAGAGTTTCAAAGGCTGAGAAGTCGAGTGTTAGCCCCTCCTGAGACGTTTCCGGTAAACCCTCAAAGGAAACATGAATATGTTTGCATATCAAATTAGGTAAAAACTGCGCATACACTCAAATATATAATCAATCAAACAAATCGCTATGGGCAGGCTAGTTTTCATGTTCGTTTTGCACCTCTAGAGACCTCTGGTTCGTGTCTTAACTGTACAAATCACTTTTTGAGAGAAATTTTTTTAAGCTGCACTCAGCTTCGCGCTCTTTGATGGTATTCAGATTTCCAGTTTACTTTACGGCTAATGCATCAGTTTCTTTACCACTAAACCACTCAAATCAGTCTCTGAACCATAAATTAAAATAAATTAAATGGCCAAAAGAATTAAAATTTGTAACCAGACATTAAGCCAAAAGCTGTTACTAGTTCGAAAACCAGTGTTACTCACCTTCATCATACGTCCTCGACTCCATCTTCTCCCTGCTACAAATTTCAACCTAAAAACAGGCCAAATTTGAATGGTAACATTATTATTCTGTTGGCTATAAGTAGAGAAGGAATGATTTATCCTTTTCTGAAATGGCACCGAATTATAGCTATCACATTGGTCAAATCAAAAGATTACCTCAATTCACAAAACTGTAAAACTTTTCCAACTAAATCCCAGTTTCCGTACGAATGTCTCAATTGCCTATATTGTGTTGGTTTCATTTTTAAGCTCGTTTGTTTTTCTAGATTTCAGTCCAGAATGGTTAACCCTAACATACTATCCATATGAATAAATAAGCATAATAATAGCGGGGTTCGCAGCGCAGCGTAGCCTCATAATTATACAAAATAGTAGCAACTCATCGAGCCGAAAAAAATTTGAACGGCGACCGTACGACCGTACGACCCAACTGTACCACGGGCACTATCTTAGCCATTACGTAATGGAAGGGCGAGGGAGAAGGTAATGTGCAGGCGCGATTGTGCGCGTAACTTGGATACCACATTGTGGGCCAGGAAACACCGGCAGGTGAAACTGAATTGATCTTTGGAATTGATTGCTGTGATGTAAAAATGAAATCCAGGTATTATTACAAGTTTTCCACAGATGTCTTCATGATCGAATCCTTAGTCTCTCTTCGTCATCAAGTTTTAATTATGGCATTTTAGTTCTAGTTTGTCTTCTTTCAAAGCAAACTTTTGCAGCGCAATAAACGTGTCAAACAAAATTTGTACTTCATTAGCTAGACTTGCTAAGATCATGGGCAGTTGGCTTAAAGATATCTACATTATAAGTATTTACAGCAGAGGTTACCGAATCAAATGACAGAAAAAATTCAAAAAGACACCGTGTATTTCCAGCCAGAGGACAATCATGACACAATAATACCCAAAAAATTACACTTAAAACTTTAAAAAATTACAGGTTTAAACACGAGTTGAAAAAGACTTTTGTTTCAATTTTTACGCGGAACAGAGGAGGTTGAAACGTCAGGGTGGGCAAGCAGTCATACCTGGCAACTTCAAGAGGAGATATAAGAGACGCCCATACGATTCTGGCGTCTTGATTTACTAATTCACTGTTATCACTTGTAAACTCTTCAATCAACGGGTGATGTCTAAACTCGAAGTAGTTTACCGTCGCACACTTCCTCTGCAGAAGAAAAGATTCCCCATCTTCGAAAATTTGCTCAAAACATCAGGAACAACAACGAAGGTCCTTAGTCAGCCGCCAGAAGATACCGCTGACTAGCATGCGTTTTATCGCAAGTTGTGAGAACGTCCCCAGGTTCCAGACCTCGCCAATTCTTCCCTTCCCTTCCCAACCCCCCGGACAGGTCTCTTAACCCCTTTAAAAAAACTCTTCTATAGTCAGTGCTGAAAAGTTTTATTACAGTGTTTATCATAACGAGGGGCTATAAAATAAACTAACAAGAGCTCCGCTTTTAGGCTCGGCTAAATATATATATATTATGTCATGAACTGTGAGAAAATGCTTCAAAAACCTTCACTGTAAAAAGATCCAATCAGCGTCAACATTAAAAGGTCAACAGAAATCGGCGAGGAGTACAAACCCAAAGATGTCTTCTGGCGATGCACGAACTCCAGATAGCTTCCTTCGCTTTCCAAGGTTCACGAGACGCCGCCGGTTTTTATCGGAACACCCCACTGACCGTGCAAGTAAAGAGGGACTGCATGTAGTGTAATTCACAGCAGAGACGAATTGCCACGTAGTTATCTGACAAGTCTCATTTACACAGTATATAATGAAGTCATGTTAATTTTTTACGTTGTAGCTGCAACGTAAAAGTTGTTTTATCATCCGAATGACCGATGCCTTTCGTGTTCTTTCCCCACCCCTAGTGGGTGGGGGATGATGCCTTGTTTTCAATTATTTCAATCTTGCATATTCTACTCTTTTCCATTTCCTACATTTAGCCGGAAAATTTTAGCAAATTATCCGCTATTTATAGATTTGCCGGTAACTTCTAGGTGTCGTTTGTCCTCCGAGGCGCTTTGCTTGAGAAAGGCAGATCGTACTTTCTGAGCTTTTTAGTACATTCATGTTGTGTCGATTTTCGCGTGGAACAGTGCTCAATACGTTGAAGCAGAGCAGAATAAATATTATGAGAGGAAAAAACGACGCAACTACATATCCCGACAAGCCTGTTTCGTGGATCGCTTCACTCTTCAGGGGTTTAATGTATTAAACGTCAAATGGTTTAATGTCATTAAACCCCTGAAGAGTGAAGCGATCCACGAAACAGGCTTGTCGGGATATGTAGTTGCGTCGTTTAATATTATATATATATATATATATATATATATATATATATATATATATATATATATATATATATATATATATATATATATATATATATATATATATATATATATATATATATATATATGGCCTCAACAAGTCTACATTTTGACGACAGATGCCCTATTAGAAGGGTTAAGTGTGACGTTATGGCAATGCAAACGACAATGAAATGGGAAGTGTTTTGTTGATTGCCGTTGATGTAAACATGAGGATTAAACTATAATACGTTAATTTTGTAATGCAACATAACAACGAGAATCAGTTCCGTTAATTCAGCACTAAGAATAGCAAAATTTGACAGAAAAATAGCGTGAGCTTGAATTACAAAAGAAAAAGATAGACAAAACCTTCGTACGAATAGAAATTTATTCTAGAACTGCTTACCCGGAATAATGCATTTCTAAGAACTGAAATGATGCAATGAAAAGCGAAAGGTCACGGGAAAAACCACTAATTACATATTTGCGTGTGTGTTATACATGGAAGCTGATATCACTCAAAAAAACAGTTCCGAAATGAAATCTTTACTCTGCTTTGTTACCCACTGAACGTAAACGATGAAAGGAAAAACGGGATACATGCCCTAAATCCCTGAGTTGTTTTTTTGCCTGTGGTTTAAATGCAAAACCCGAACAATACCCATTTTTACTCCCCGCGGCTAAATAGCTCAGTATTTTTACTCCGCTCACGTACATGATCGGTGCTCATCCGATCTCTCCACCATACAGCTTTCATTTCATTACAGCCACTTCTTTCCTCGTTCTCTCTAATTTCGAACGATATATGCACAATTGTTACTTTTCTTGTGACAGATATTCCTCAAAACTATTTCAAAGCGGAAATACGGCTCCACGAATAGAACAATATCCTGACGGAATTAATATCACAACCACACATTAAGAGCACATTGTTTTAACGCAAGGTATGATGTGCATCGTTTTCTACATATGATTAATCAGTAATTTCATGCTCCTTGCTTGCTTGTTAAATTGCAAATTTCCGTTACAACGTCAGCGTAAAATTCTAGGATTCTGACCACTTGAAGCAAATTAACAGACAATTCAGCAATAATGAGGCTCCCCGTGACACACATGCAACTCTGAAAATGTTAATTAGGAATTAAATGTAGTATCGCCCTCTAGCTCGTTTAAATACCTGCCTGCCTGCAAGAAAGATTTCGTTCAGTTATTGATTGTTCCTGAAGGAGGAATTTAGGCTCTCAGCTCGGCGAAATCAAAATTAGCCACAGTCCATCAAATCAATCTGAAGTTACGAATACTGGCTTATTTCAGTTTTCATCCGCTTTAGAGTTACAATTAAGAAACGCTTCGGGTAACATTTCAATTAATCAGGGTCCTTCATTGTGTCGAATCGACAAGTGGAAACATCAAATGATCATTGAATGTCGAAACATGACAAAATATCAAATAATTGTGATGTCGTCCGGCCACACGATTCGTTTTCATCGCTCGCTTGGTAATCATTAGTAGTATGTATCTTAATTGACTTCTTTAGTTGGGGAAATTTTAGAGTTAAGATCAAAATAATAAATCCAATATATATGCTTATATGTGATATGCATGAAAATATCACCCAACAGTAATGTTTCAAAATGAAATTTTACTCTACTTTGTTACTTGCTGAAGATAAAATGGTGAAAAAGAAAAACGGAATACATGCCCCGAGTCATTGAGTTGTTATTTCCTCCATGATATACATGCAAAACCTGAACAATACCCAATTTTTCCTCCCCGTGGTTGAATAACAGTATTTTATTCGCTTCACGTACGTGATTGGTGCTCATCCAATTTCTCCACCATACAGGTTTTATTTCATTACAGCGATCACTTTCCTCATTCTGTCTACTTTGGAACCATATATGCACAACTAATACTTTTCTTGTGACAGTTATTCCTCAAAACTATTCCAAAGCGGAAATACGTGTCCACAAATATATAAATATCCTGCCGGAATTAATGTCACAACCGCATATTAAGAGCACATCCTATTAAAAAAGAAGATATGATTTTCATCGTTTTCTACATATGATTACACAGTAATTTCATGTTCCTAGCTTTCTTGTTAAACTGTAAATTTACGTTACAACGTCGGTGTAAAAATTTAAGATTATGACCACTTGAAGCGAACTATCAAACAGACAATTCAGCAATAATGAGGCTCCTCGTGACACACATGTAACTCTGCAGAAGCCAATTATCAAATAAATGTAGTATCGTCATCTGGCTCGTTTTAATACCTGGCCAACCAAGCGAATGCTAATTTCGAGAAAGATTTCGTTCAGTCATTGATTGTTCCCGAAGGAAAAATTTAGGCCATTGGCGGAATCAGCTCGGCGGAATCAAAATTAGCCACAGTCCATCAAATCAGTCTAAAGTTACGAATACTGTCTTGTTTCAGTTTTAATCTGCTTTAGAGTCAACATTAAGAAACGCTTCGGTTAACATTTCAATTAATCGAGGAAGGGTCCTGCATCGTGTCGAACCGACGAGTGGAAACTTCAAATGATCATTAAATGTCGAAACATGACAAATAATTATGATGTCGCCCGGCCCACGGTTCGTTTTCATTGCTCGCCTGGTAATCTTGAGTAATATATGTCGTTATTGACTTCTTTAGTTGGCGAAATTTAATCCAATAATTTCGGGGAATCCGAATTGGCCAAAGTCCAAAAAATCAGTCTAATGGAATGCGGGCTTCCAAATACAGTGTTGCTTATGTTTTTCTAAAACACGTTTGAGAGTAAGCATTAGAAGCCGCTTACTGTAATCTTTTAGTTCTACATCATATAATAACATCTTACCACAACTGTTTTAACATACCTCTTTGTCGCTTGTTCAATATTTCATAGCTGGGCAACAGCCTTCAAGATGGCGGCTTTGAAGAGCAAAACAAACCAGTCAATTACAGCTAATGATACAAACAAGGTTGTTCTAAGAATTTGTCTTTCTCAAAGTGTTCTAAGTTATGTCACGATCGTTTTAACATATATTTAAACAGGCTATTCTATACTTGTACCTGGAAGATCGCTAAGCTAAAGCAGACGACTTCACGGGCTCAGTCAGATTCCAGAGAGTCATCAATCGGCACAATAATGTCGTTCTGCTGTGAATATTTAAAATCTGAATTAATGAGATGCGTCGGGTCTTTAACATCATGCGATCTAGCTTGTTAAAAGCGGCTTAAGACCGCTGAGTCTTCTCTTGGAGCAAACTCAGCTGTCCAATGGAAGTTGTATGATGAAAATATTTGACGCAACACCAACATTTGATGCCGCTTTATTTTCCTCTCTGACCAAACTATATACAATAAATTCAACAGTATACAAAGTTTACAATATTTTACACTTATTCACTTACACTTATTAAGGTTTACTGTTTAGTGTTTTGAGGTTTACTATCATTATTTCCATTTCTTTTTTTCATACGGTTTTGTTTTATGCCAACTATCAAGCTAGGAAGAACTCTGTCACTGAGTGACAACTTTTATAAAAAGCAAGAACTCCTGGACAAACAGCAAAATACCTACAGATTCATATTTCAAATGTGGTTTCATCAACTTTTGTTCTTTTCGGAGTGGAAGTAACTACTCGCTTACTTTCACTTTTAACCCATCATTTTCTACGTTCTGTCGCTCGGCTCAGTCTCCTCTCACAAGAACAGAAATTTAGTCAACGTATCCATAGGAGCGGGAACCTTAGTTTTAATAAGAATATATTTACGAGGAAGTAAAATTACAGTCGCTTGCTTTGTTGAAACGAGGCCATTTTTTCGAGTTATCCATTTCTAGTTTTCCGACTACTCTCTTAGAAGATTACGATTACCTCAAACACTCTTAGCTTTATGAACGACCGCCAAATTTCAAGTGGCGCTGATGCTCGACAGTAAGAGACCGGTGAATAAACGGTTTAAGTTTTTAAAGAAACTGTCTAGCTGCGTCTATGGGGGAAGTATTCAGGATAACTATGTATTATCAACTGAGTTGATAAAATAAATTGGCCACCGTAAAGAGTTTAAAAGCTGACGTTTCGAGCCTTATGCCTTATTCAGAGCGATTGACTCAAGGCTAACACTCGAGACGTCAGCTTTGAAACTCTTTGCGCAATTTACGCTGTTAGCACATGAATCGAACTCAACATGTTGCTTCAGTTTTTGCAATCCCTTACCTGTATAAACCAGGTGCCATGATCTGGATGTCGATGTGAAACGTAACTCCGGCTCGGTGGCAAAGGCCATGACAAAGTCTGTGGTCTGGTGAATATTAATTCAGGCCTCGTTTCTCTGTTTGATTCGTATCTTTAGGGACCCTTCATTATCTATCTGTTTCCCCTGTGGCCCTATAGCATTCTAATAACCCCCCCCCCCCCCCAATTGGCTGTCAATTTTCAATAGTCCCTCACTGCACCACAGTGCAAATATATGAATTTCCATATACCTAAAATCACCATTCATCACTTGATGTTTGTTTGTACGTATACCCAATTCATTGACCAGCTCCCAGTTGGCTTGTTAGCTCAATTGGTAGAGCGCTGCACCGGTATCGCAGAGGTCATGGGTTCAAATCCCGTACGGGCCTGAATTTTTTTCAGGTCCCATTTACAACTATTCGTTTCAGTAGTGTTCTTAGCTGCGAGGATCACTTAATTTTATCTCTCCACCGCAGTGCAAATATATGAATTTTCGTATATCTAAAATCACCAGTCCCTCATTATGCTCTTTAGCAAACGACAGACCCCCATCTTTCACCCCTGAAAACTATGTGATTGCCCCCAAAATTCTTGAGCGAAAGGCATATTGGTGGAATAGGCTGCATAGTAGGTCAGTGTTTCAGAGAGTAACTCTGAGAACCAGTGTATTTAAACAAAGTTTAGCCGTTGCTCAACAAATTTGCGTTCAAAGCCATGTTCAGTTTAGCCGAGCCTTTTATCTGAACATTTATTTTATTAAACGGTGTCAAGAAGGCCGGTAACTAAAAGTGAAAGGACATTAATTCAATTAGAGCAACCCCCTTATAGAGAATCCCTGAGACCTACTCCTTGCGTAAAACCACGGTTTGGGTTAGACCTCGTGTAAATAACCAGCTCTAAGGGTCTGTATGTGTGTTTTGATTTTGTTTTGTTTCACTTAAAGATGGCCTTCATCGTCAAAAAGGCTGATGTATACAAACATTGGAGAGCACTGCAAGACTTCTGCTTTTGGGACCATTATTGCTAGCCTGGTTCTCAAAAATCCTGCGGAAATATAGATTTATACATGTAATTGCTTATGTGTGTTCTAGAGCGTACCCGCATACGCGCGTAAACATTGTTCTCATCGACATACCTCGTCCCTGGCAAGGTAACATTGCTTTGAAGTCCAGGATAACCCTACAAAGCGCTGATTAAAAAAAAACAATACTGACAACGAACACGCGAAGAGACATTAATCTTTTAACACTGATCCTATATCACCGAGTATAAGTTGCCAGCACATAATTTTTGTTTGCGTGTTGCGAATTCTATAAGTTGAAATAGACACTAGCTCTTTAACTCCTACAAGTGATCAAGACAGACTCTCTCCTTACAATAGAAATCCAAAATCAATGAGACGAGCAATAAAAAAAAAATTCAATATTGATTTTGAGTCCCTTGTTGCCCACATTTGTTAGCACTGCACCCACTCCAAAGAGACCAAAGACTCACTTGATTGTTAATCGGCCTACTACCGTAACATTGCTGTGTCACGTGTAGATTAGGACACTCCACAACCTAGTGACGAGACCACCGTTCTTGAACGATTCTGAGAGCCTACTTAACCACACTGGTTTGCACTGCACGGATTCCATGAAGACCAGTGGCTGACCAGGCAATTTCTTGGAGTGCATGATCCACGACTCATTCGAGACTGGGCGTCACAAGATGATGCAAAGGCGAGCGTGGCAACTAGTATCACTACAACTGTAATTTCCACCGCGATCATGCTTCCGAAATCATACAAAAACTGGATCAAGAGAGCGATTTCACCCAGGAGATTCACATAGAACGCCTTATTATAAAATCTTGACTGGTTCGACTCCGTTTAAGCGCAACATGACAATTTGCAATTGAAATCATATTGATGGGAAAAGGCCAACATGTTTATGTATTGTCGTTTTTCATATCGTTAATGCCGGTGTTAAAGGCCCGTTTTTGACCAGAATACATTGCGCGCGGCGTTGGCTATCGGCGGCCATGCATTAGCTCAAAGTTGATTATTCTACAAGCTTCGGCGAAACAATGCAAGCCACCCTCTAGTGAAAACCATGACAAAAACAGAGACGCGCAATGCGTAATAGCCAATACTGGATGTGTAAAATTAATAAATTATACCCTTGACGTGGTATGGTTTTCATTGTTTTGTCGTAGAGACAAAGTTTTGTGAAAGCCGCCATAATTTTGAATTATTTTATCTAGTCATTGTTGGAAAAGATAATTTGTTTGTTAGAGCGATGGGCTAACGCTCGAATAGTCGCCTTTAAAAACTCTCCTTGATGGTCAATTTTCAAAATAAAATCAGTTAATAAAATCAAATTATCTTGTAATGGCCCAACCAACGCAACACAAAAGTTTCTCTAGAAACTAACCCCCTTTATTCATAGTTGGAAAAGCCTCATTTAGATACTTGAATAGCATTCGGGTTTGTTTCTTGAATGTTCATTTGATTCATAAGTGAAACTTGGCGGTAATTAGATGTCTCTGAGACACACATATAGAATTACAAACTTGGAGATGTATTTGATTGTAAGTTGTTATTGAACTTTTTCAAATCAAACACAGAATCAAGAAGCAAAACTTTTGTAACAAACCTCTAAAGCTGCGTTGTATATATGCATTTATCTCGTAAAAATTCTTTAGTGGACCCGACTAGTATTTTCCTAACTTGACCAAATTGCGCGAATCACTGTCTATTGAATTGTATATGTCTCGCCAATAGATTTTATCGCACAGGCCCCTTTCATGAAAGACAATTAACCCTTTTTTTAATTCCGTTAGAGGAAGATATCGTTTCATAGAAGCTGAAACGTAACTTCTTAAGCTATCCAATAAAATGTTAGCTATGTATTGTGTAGGACAGTTTAATAATCCTTTGCAAGAACAAGAAGATAATTACGCCTTAATGCAGTTTTTGTGTCTTTTATATATATATATATCTATATATATATCTATATATATATATATATATATATATATATATATATATATTCGTCATAGAACTGTGGTCTGACTTCCTCTTGATCTTTCGCAAGCAAAGTCCGAATTCCAGTTTAATTAGCTTTGGGCTCGTCTACTTCCTTATATGGAGCTTAGATTGTTTTTTTGAGAATCGTGAAAGGTAGGTCCATAACGTATACCAATGATGGCTTCGGCTAAGAGTTTCTCTGTTGTAATACTGCTGGTGTTGATCTGTTTCCCTTCTGACTGTGACGCTTCGCGAAGACGCCGTCGTTGTCGTCACGCAGCATGTCCAGTGAAAAACTGTGATATCACTTTATGGTCATACTGGAGTTATTGCAGTACAGACCAATGTGGACAGGAAGGCTCTCAAAGTCGATAAAGAACGATAGTATCAAAGCCAGCCTGTGGTGGAACAGAAAGCCCTGACAACCTTAACGAAACTCGGCAGTGCTACGGTAGTAAAACAGTTGACTGCAAACTGACCTACTGGTCAGAATGGAGCGGTTGTACAAATGCTTGCGGGGTATCAGTAACACGGTTCAGCGTCCGTCACCGAATAACTATCGAACAATGTGGCGGCACATGTTCATCTTCCCTGACAAAGACACGATCCTGCCAGCAGACCGGCTGTTTTAATGGAGGAAGTCCTAAAGAGGGGGTATGTTTCTGTAGGGCAGGGTTTTCCGTGAATGCTGCGAGCTGCAAGGTTACTAGCTCAAGAAAACTTAAAACTATAAGCCCCGCACAAACACAAACACATTATGTAAGTACCTCTTAATTTTGGAAGCCCATTTCGAACAGGAAATTTTTACTGGAAGTTTTACAATTTAGAACAGAACTTGTCGAAATGTCAATGTGCATATATGATTTTCACGATTCAAACGAAAATCAGGGCTCACAGGCAGCGG